CAATCTGTTATCCAGCAAGGCCCACAGGTCCCAATATAAAAAATACGACAATATTTCGCATTAAAATAATATTGTTTCGAGTTTTGGGCAGGCACTGATTTTTTAGAAAATTCTTATCTGCATTAAGTATGTGCAAAGTTCTTCATTTCAGTTGGAAACTAATAAATTCCACCAAGGAGCAGATGTCTTGTCTTTCAGCCTGTGAGCATTTTCAATCCTCAAAAACTCATCAAATTCATGTATTTGAATATCACTAAGGGTGTAACTGGTCTGCTTTCCATCAGACATATCTGAACCTTTTGTTTTGACTAGTCAATAGGAATAAACAAGGAAATTTGGGTACAGAAGTCTCATCTATTGAAAAAAAAACATGAGGCAGATGTCTACTTAGGTACCTCTAAGCACCCGTCACAAGTGAGGACAAAGTGGCAGCCCACCATGGGTATAGATCCTGAGGCTTATTTAAGAACCAAGCAGATTAGAGCTTTTGCTCCACTTTTACTGACTCACACATTCACTCACTCCTCTCTAGTGTTATGTTCAACAGGCCTTGATGTCACTTTGCTGCAGGGAGGTCACTGCTGGTCCAGGAAGACTGAGCAGAAAGTCATGTTTGTTCTTGCCATGCTGCTGCTCAGTCACCAGCCTTGTGTATTACTGCCCAGCATCCCTGGCCATTACCCAGCAGCTCTCTGATCTCATCTTCCCCAACTTCCTTCTTGGCTTTCTTTCAGCCAAGATCTTCAACCTCCGTCAGAGACTGCTTCTTCCTAAATCTAAATAGTCAGTGTGCAGAAGAACAGTACATGATCAGCATGGTAATTCTCTCATTTCATTGTCAACTGGAGGATGCAGGACATGCCATTTCTGCTCAGTCCAAGGTCTAGCAAAATTTTCAAACACACGTACACCCAATTATCTGCCATGTTAGCGTTCACATTTTAAGCTGTTCTTTCACCTGTGGCAGGACCTCACAAGAAATATTAGGCGTTTCACAGTTTCATATTATAATACGCTATGAACACTTGTGAAAGAAATGCGTCTTTTGAGGTGATTCCTTTATCTTCAGAATGGTTTTATTCTTATAAATTTTTGCTCTGTCTCTGCAGTGTTGCCTCTGGCAGAATAGATATTATTTTGTAAAAACTGGATTTCACAATGCAAGCATTTTCTGAGTCTTCATATTGTTTACCATCACTTTTTGCCTATGCCAGATGATGCAGCTATATACTTGTAACGAGACAATTTATCAAAGTGAAAGCCATTAACTCATTTCGATATTTAATCACCAAATAAAAATTGACCAAGCAAAGCAGCAGTTAAAAAAAAATAGTAAAAAAGTAAGTTACTTAGTTTCAATAAAATGGTTATGTCTGGAAGCCAAGGCTGAGGCTGTAACTTGTACTGAAGTGCTTAACCTTTTTATAAGAGCCCTGAAGGGCACTATTCTAACAATAATCATGAAGAATTCCAGATACCAAGAGCTATAACTAAATCTGTGTGTTCAGGTTCAGGGGTTATACAGGAATGGTTTTATGATAAAACAAATGTCCGTTTAAGACCTATTTATAAATCTAAATGACATCATGACAAATTTACAAGATACTACAAAATATTTCATGACAGAGTAGTTGAATTTTACAAAATTTGATGGTACTAAGGCTAGAGTGTTCTGAATTCTAGATGAAAAGCACTATCATTTTGTCTCTTAATTTCTAGTTACTTTATTTTGTCACATTCTAGCACCCTAAGTGTTCTGGATGCCAAAACACAAGTCATTATATGCCTGACTGCTCTAATGGTGAAAAATTTTTCCTGCAGAAAACACAGGTAATCCATGAAAACAATACTGAAAACAAGGGTCAGAGAAGGCTGACGGATAGTTAATTTATTTGATGAGGCTCAGCGCAGGTCAAATAGACGTGTGTATTTGGTGATTATAATTTATCTGAAGCAGACAAGCATCTCTCTGCTTGGGTTTTACCTTCTTAAGGAGAACTAATGGAGAATTTGTAGTGTCCATCTTAGAATAAGATGTGCTTTCTGTATCCTGTGACCATGCATTGGAAATAAGTAGGATGATTTTAGTTGCAAGGTCACTTGAAACATCCAGCCAATACTAGGAATGTTCAGGGAAACAGCTTTGCTTCTATGCTCTCTAGATTGCACAGCTACAGAATTCAGTATTCCTGCTTCATTAGTCACATTTATAGACAAGGACACAACAAATATTTCTTCTTAAAACTGCCACATCCTTTCTTATTGCAAAAGAATCACAAATGATCAATCAACTTAACTGATATGTACACTAACAGCTATGTTTGAATTCTTTCTCCCTCCTTCTGAGTTTTTGAAAAGTTCCAGACTGGCCCTTCGAAAAACAAAGTTATTTTTAGTCACAGCTTGTCGTGGTTTAAACCCAGTCAGGTAATTCGTTCGCTCACTTCCCCCCCTTTTCTTGCCCTCCCCCTGCTCTCAGAGGGATGGAGAGGAGAATTGCAACTCCCACGGGTTGAGATAAGAACAGTTTAGTAACTAAGGTATAACACAAATCACTACTGCTACCACCAGTGATAATAATGATAAAGGAAATAACAAGGGAAGAGAATACATCATCTCACCACCAGCCGACCGATAACTCGCCCCCCCAGCCCGACCAAGCTCTGACCGATACCTCCTCCAACCCTGCAATCTCCCAGCCCTTCCGGCTCACTCCCAGTTACATCCTGGGCATGACGTGCTGTGGTATGGAATACCTCTTTGGTCAGTTTGGGTCAGGTGTCCTGTCTCTACTTCCTCCTGGCTTCCCCTCCTCCCTGGCAGAGCATGAGGCTCACAAAGTCCTTGGCCAAACCAAAACATCACTATCAGCTCTGTTCCCAAGCTGAAAGTCAAAACACTGCACTGCACCAGCTACCAAGAAGGGGAAAAATGACTGCTACTGCTGAACCCATGACACAGCTGTATCATTTATTCCTTTTATACTTATATTTAATGTTGATAATGCAGGGGGGTCTGGTAACCTTCAAGGGGTCGGGGAAAGCACATATCTGATACTAGCAGTGTCTCTTCTTACAGAAAACTATAAAAATAGTGATTTTGTATCATTTCTCTACAATTCAAATTACACTATTCAACAGGTAGTTTAGCTGGCATGATTTTCAACTGAAGTGCATTACCACTGTAAACCAAACTGATTTTCACTTTGTAAACACATGTCACAAATATTTCACACTTTCAAGTGATGGGCATTTTTGGTGGATTTTAATGACTATTGATTATTACTAACATAAACTGGACAAAATTAGTTTAGAAATGTTTAATTCAGGGCAATCAGAACTGCTAATGTTATATTTTTTATACATCTTTTATTTTTCTAGTGTTATATTTTATCTAGTAGTGTATAACTTATATTAGCTCCTGAATGTATACATGCTGGTGGCATGAATGTTTACACCCCCTCTGCAAAACCTTCTTTTCTCCTCAAAGGAGTTTATTAGCCAACAGAGAAATTAAAGTCTACACTGTCAGCTGATAATGAGACAGAAACAGACCTTTGTGTTGAAGAAACAGACCTTTGTGCTGGATTATTCATTTGCTCTATTACATATATGCCTGCTTCCTGTCTTGTTCATGCTATCCAAAGGTGTATCTTACATTTCAATTTTAGAGATCTATTTGTTGGCAAAATATTTTAAAATCAATATTGTCTTGAGTGCTTCCACCTCTCTTTAATTCTTGGTGGCATTGTTATTGTATTTTAAGAATTAGAAGGTGCAATACATTGGATGACACTGTCAGCCTTGTCTTTCAGCTTTGAAGGGCATCTGTAACACTGCAGATTGAAATAGATTGAAACTCAATATTTTAGTATATAAGTGAATGGATCAGATCAAATAAAGTAAGAGGTTCACATCTGAGACAAGCAAAATCTGTAAAAAGATTTTGTTCAACTGGGTCTTAATTTCATCCAATTTGGTTTCTTAACACTTCCTTTTTAGTCTGTTCGTGGGAGAGGCATTTGTATGCTTCTCTTCACTTTCTGATGAATGGATATTGCATGGATAGTGATTCAGAGAAAACTCCAGGAACAAACTTACCAACAAAGTTTTCAAACTGACAAGGAGGTATTCTTTACTGTGGCGCCGGGAGACACGGGGGATAGCTCCTCCTGACGTGTGTCACCCCATTGCCACACAAGCCGTCCTTTTATAGCCACTGGGCATACATACATATTCATGAGGCTACTTATGGATTACATAATTTTCCAGAAAGTTCACCACATGCGTACAGAATTGTGGTGGTGATCTCTGAGGGTCGTTTACTTCTTCCAACAATCTTCATCACTTCTGGCAGCCTTTTAAGCATGCACAGTAGATGCTCATACCAGTTTAATTGGTTCGTTAGCACCAGAGACATAATAATCCTCCTATCCTCCTACTTATCAGTTAGTTTAGCCCATCCTGGACACCTGCGGTTCCCAGATACTCCTTATCCTTGTGTCCTGTTCTTCTAGACTGTTTTTCTTAAACTATGTCACAACCATAACGATTTATCTTGTGAGAATTCTCAGTATGTTCTCTAGTTGTACTTTATTTCTTTTTCTCTATGTATCATGCACCTCAGTAATTTTCCATTGCTACTGTTAGAAAGCCATCAAACTTAACATTACTTAAAACTAATTCTAAAGGTTTCTATATTCCATTTTGTGATTTTGTGCCCCCTTGTCTCAAATTCCCCCCTTTTTCTGTCCCTTTTCAAATTCTTTTGCAACATTTTGTATACTACCATTACCATCAAAATTCTTTTCGAAATAATTTTCCATTTGTACTTGGTGCTTAATTTCATTCCTTTTCCAATCATAGACCGTTTACAACACCAGAGGGAAAATTGTATCATACCACAAGTAATCAATATTACAATAATTAACATCAATATTCCTGCAACCAGTTGCCTCAACCAGAAGAGATTAGGTAACCATGAAGTTAACTTTTTCCATATTTCTTCAAACCCCAGGAGGTGTCATCCATGGCCATTTCATGAAATATCTTAGTTTGTTTCCAAATTTTCTCCAGATCTGTTTCAATTCTGCCACTTTGGTCTATATAGGAACAACAGCTTTCATAGATTATGGAACAAACCCCTCCTTGTGATGCCAATAACATGTCTACAGCCATTCAGTTTTGCAATACCACTTTAGACAGTCTGGTTATCTCTTGTTGTTCTGCCTGAATTTTATCAATGTTTTTACTTTCCATTTCCTCTATGGTTGCTGAGATATTTACAATTGCCTTCTCTAATTCACTTACTCCCAAAGATGGAATTAGCCCTCTTACAAAACTATGAAATGCACTGTGTCGTTCAATAATAGGGTTAAACCCTTGCTTAATCCATTTAGCAAAACTTCTAATCCAGGTCCCGGAAGGATACCTGTCGATAATAGTAAAATTGGGTATTACAGCACCTAAGGTGCATGCCCCCTTCCAGCTGCGGGGTAGAGTCTTATAAGCATTTTTTCCACATAACCAATACCATCCTTTCCCTTTAGGAACGGGCCACCACTGAACTATGATACCATCTATATTAATAGTATGATTGCAATTTGAATGGTGACCTACATCTGTGGCATTTAAGCAAGATTTCCTACCCTGGTTCCTGGTATAATACATCTTTGTGCACAGGTGTAATATTTATTACCTGGATTAGGATTAACTCTTCCAAATTTTAACCTTTCCTTCGAATACAGATTGCTAGTGTTCACCCACAAATTTGTCCATGAGACAGTGTTAGGAATTGGAGCTCCAATTAATAGGAGATTCAGGCTTTCTCCTGATTTAGGCAACTGTGCACACACCCAACAGTCACTGCAATTAAAAACATTAGTAACATTCTGCACTCATTTCAGGTATAAATTCTGGTCCCAGGTTTGTGTGCCAGTTATCATATGAGTCCAAATTATGACCGACGTAATTTCATACATAAGGGTCCTGAAGGTTCGATCTTCCATGTCTTCTCTGGCTCTGGTGCTTTCTTAATTCTTGAATAATGTATCCAGGCAGGTTGTTCCTTTATCTTCACTGCTGTAAAGGTGGTCAGTAATACCTGGTACAGTCTGCTCCACTTCTCCTGTAGAGGATCTCCTGAAAAATTCTTAACATAAACCCAGTCTCCAGATCTGAAAGGGTGAATCAGATAATCCAGACCTCTTGCTCTTGTCCCTATTATTCTCTCATTTATCTCCTCCCAGATTGATCAGAACCTGTCATAGATAGCCTTCTCCCACTTCCTGAAGACTTTCTCCTTTAAACTGGGACTGATATGGTCTTCCATACACAATCTCAAATGGACTGACCTCTTCTTTAGACCGGGGTTTAGTTAGAATTCTTAATAGAGCCAGTGGTAACTCCTGGTACCAATATAAATTTGTTTCCTGACATATTTTACTAACCTGTTGTTCAATCAGATGGTTCATCTTTTCTACTTGCCCACTGGCCTGAGACCTGTATGGAACATGTAGCTGCCAATCAATTTCTAATTTTTTTGCTAATTTCTTGTAACAATTTTGCACTAAAGTGTGAACCCCGGTCAGAAGAAATTGCTGCTGGTACTGACGTATTATTTCATTTAATAATGTTTTAATCACCTGTCTTGCATTATTTATCCTGCAAGGGAATGCTTCTGGCCAGCCTGAAAAAGTATCTGTTAGTACCAACAAATATCGATAACCCCGTTTTCTTGGTAATTCAGAAAAGTCTATTTGCCACTGCTGTCCCGGGTAACTTCCAGTTGTCCCAGTTTGATTTCTATTTTCAGTTTTAGGATTATTCTTAAGACATAACTGACATTGTTTTGTCGCTAATTGAACTGTGGTGTATAGATTCCTTCCTACAATTTATTTGTCTAAATGTTTATACAATGAGTTGCCACCCCAACGAGTTTTATTATGTTCTTCCTGAACTAACTTCCAGAACTATTTATAGGGGACTACAATTCGCCCATCAGGTATTTGAGCCCAACCCTCTTTATTTTCCTGTCCCTTTAGATCCTCAATCAATTTTCTATCCTCTTTTGAATACCTAGGTTTAGATTTTTCAATTCTTAGTTTGCTGTCAGGGATTAAGAACATGATTTAGGATTGGCCAGCTACTTGTTTGGCTTCAAAATCAGCCAAATTATTTCCAATTTCCTGATCAGAGTCACCTTGTTGATGTCCTTTACAGTGCATAATAGCTACTTCTTCAGGTAGCTGAACAGCTTCCAGTAACTGTAGAATTTCTGTAGCATGTTTAATCTGTTTCCCTTGTGTGTTCAAAAGTCCTACTTCTTTCCAGATAGCACCATGTGCATGTACCACACCAAAAGCATATTTAGAATCAGTCCAAATATTTATCCTTTTATCTTTAGCCAGTTCCAGGGCTCTCGTTAATGCTATTATTTCTGCCTTCCGGGCAGAGGTGTTCTCAGGTAAAGGTTTAGCTTCTATTACCTGTGAAGTGGTGGTAACAGCATATCCTGCCTTTCATTTACCATTTTTCATGAAGCTACTACCATCAGTAAACCAAGAATCAGCACCTTCCAGAGGGTTTTCTTTCAAGTCTGCTCAGCTCGAATATACAGTCTCTATGGTGGTCAAGCAGTCATGTGTTAGTGGTTCTGTTGATTGTTCCAGAACACCATAATCATGGATCCAAAGTCTGCACCATCCTGTCATTCCCAGGAATGTCCAGAGGTCCTTGAGGGTCAATGGTCATGGAGTCTGGCAAATGGCTTCTTTTCTGGCAGTCCCAAGTTCCCTCTGTCCTCCTGTTATTTCATATCCTAGGTAGGAAACTCAGGTTTGGATTAGTTGGGCCTTTTGTTTGGATACCCAATAACCAACCATTCAGTCTCAGAAAATTTAATAATTCCACTGTCCACTGGAATTCTTCCTTTGTTTCTGTATCAATTAACAGGTCATCCACATATTGTAAGAGACCCCGTCTGAGCAGGTGGCTTTCATGATTCTAATTCTTGTGCTAACTGATTTCCAAAAATTGCTGGACTGTTTTTAAACCCTTGAGGTAATACTGTCCAAGTTAATTGAATTTTTCTTCCTGTGTCAGGATTTTCCCATTTGAAAGCAAATAATTTTGGCTTTCTTTGGCCAATGGTAAGCAAAAGAAAGTGTCCTTTAAATCCAGGACAGCAAACCATTTCTGATTATTATTCAATTTGGTCAATAAATCATACGAATTAGCTACTACTGGACAAATATCCTCTGCAAATTTGTTGATTACCCAGAGATTGTGAATCAATCTGCAACTTTTTCCATCATATTTCTTTACTGTCCAGATATGAGTATTATATTCCAATTCACATTCAATTAATAATCTATATTTTAAAATTTATCAATGATTTTTGTTTCATTCCCTTTGATCTTCTGATTTTAAGGGATACTGTTTTATTCTAATTGGGCAGGCCCCCCTTTTTTATTTCCACTTTAACAGGCAAAGTATTTTTTTGCCTTACCTGGAAGTTCAGATGCCCATACTCCCACATATACCTGATTAAGGATTTCTTCTATTTCAGGGAGGTCCTCCTTTTTGTTTTTTTTCTGTTGAATTAAAGATAAACTCAAAACTGCAATTAATTGATTGTTTTTAACTCTAAATTCCATTTTGCCGTCTTTAAATGTTGCTTCTTGCCCTAATGAAGATTTTAGAGATTTTGGCATGCATAAAAATTTAAGCATTCCTATTTGTTTTCCCGATTTGTACTTTAAAGGTTTCAGAAAGAATGCCTTTCTTTTTTTTCTTGGTGGCCAGCAGCTCCCACATCTGTAACAAATTCTTTTCTCTCCGAGAAATTCCTCTTTATTTCCTCTAGTCCGTAGTTTTAATTTAACCAGTGGATCTGCTAGGGTAGATTCCCCAGGTCCCTGTCAGTCTAGCTCCAATTCAGTCACCAGAGCCACCCCATGGCACTGTCCCCCCCAAGGCAGTCTCACTTCGAATGTCCAAACTCTCCATAGCGCGCACACCGATCCGGTTCCACAGAAGAGCCCACTCCCCCACCTCAGGCAGACATCCCTCCTCTCCTGCTCAAACACAGGAGCTGCTCGAGCTCCCCCTCCCTTTCCCCCTTGGTTTTCCCTTTTTTTTTTTTTCACAGCGGGGCTGCAGATGCCTGCCTGTGCAACAGCACTTCTGGTTTAACCCCTTCGTAACTCTGAATGTGAATGTGCCGCTTGTTGCCAGTGACAGCAATATCAGATAGGACAGATGCAGAGGGTGATCCTCTTGGAAGTACCTGTGATACATGATTTTCCAACCTATCTTCCTGATTACTGTTTTTTAACTTTAAACATCTTTCCCCAATATCACAGGCTGAACATCTCCAGCTTAACATTCAGTTTTTCCCTGTCCTTTTCCAAAGCCAAAATCAAGGAATCTGGCGGAGCTATATTAATTTTGCATTCTGTCTGTCACTCCGCATGATTTCTTAAAGTGAAAAACATATCTGCATACATTACTTCACCCCATTTTCCTTGCCACCTCAAAACAACATTAATTGTAACAATGTATTATAGTTCAGAGTTCCATTTTTAGGCCATTTTTTCCTGATCTTCCAAAGTACACAAAGGCCACCATTGGTTACAGTGTTTTACCAATGTATTCTTATTTACTGAGCCCCCAGGAGATCCTCCAAGTTCTTTCCAGTGTGCCAAAATGCACCCAAAGGACTCTTTTTCAAGATCTCTTCACTCTGCTGATTTTCCATTATCAATCTCACATTCACACACACACATACACAAACGGGATCCCACAGACACACTCCACAGTTACAGCACTTGAGACAAAGATGGAGACTAAAATTCAACCAACCAAACAACACTTAATAAAACGGTTATAACATCCTGTCACCAGTACCAAAATCATTACTGTAACAAGCCACAAAATAAGACGAATACCAGTAGAATCAAAAGCAATACATCCTAACCCCTATGGCTCAGACCATATTGTAACATTAATAGGGGGGATTTCCTTGAGCCCTTTATAGCTGACCAGCCTGTCTGCGTCCCACTGTGGGATGTACTGGACAGCCCACTGTATTGGAGGGTGACTCAACTAACCTATTCAGGGACCCATGCTGTCAGCATCACTGAATCAAATCCCTTATGGGCTGTTGATAGCACACTGGACCCAAAACCATTTCCACAAGACAACTCCTGTGTCTTTCAGGACCCAAACCACAAGGTGCCCCTGCTTAGTTATAACAGTCTGGCACTGATACCAAAACCAAAGACCAAAATCCTTAATGTAACAAGCCAAAAAATAAATACCAACAAGATCCAAAACTATTTCCACAAGACACCCCATGCATCTTTCAGGACCCAAACCACAAGAAGCCCCCTGCTTCATATGGGTGTATGCCAGTAAAATCCAAAACCATTTCCACAAGACACCCCGTGTGTCTTGCAGGACCCAAACCACAAGAAGCCCCCTGCTTCTTGTGGGTGTATACCAAACGGACGCTAGCAGCCGGGTATACGCCTTTACCTACGAGATTTCCTATCTTGATTTACGGAAGGCTTCCAAACCATGCGTACGCTTACCAAACCAATTTACCAAACTGAGATGCCCCCTGCACCTTACAAACTATATAAAAGAATACCTTTTATGAGATGGTCCTTGTCTGCTCCCGCAGCGATCCAAATGAGTCGAGGGGTCCCACCGGGAAAAATTCCCAAGGGCCCTAGGGAACCCTGTCCTCAGTGGGTCCTGCAGCTGACCAGAGAGGGTCCCATCTGGGTCGCCAAATTGATTCAGAGAAAACTCCAGGAACAAACTTACCAACAAAGTTTTCAAGCTGACAAGGAGGTATTCTTTATTGCGGCACCAGGAGACACAGGGGATAGCTCCTCCTGACGTGTGTCACCCCATTGCCACACAAGCCGTCCTTTTATAGCCACTGGGCATACATACAGTAGATGCTCATACCAGTTTAATTGGTTCGTTAGCACCAGAGACATAATAATCCTCCTATCCTCCTACTTATCAGTTAGTTAAACTGTAGCCCATCCTGGACACCTGCAGTTCCCAGATACTCCTTATCCCTCTGTCCTGTTCTTCTAGACTGTTTTTCTTAAACTATGTCACAACTATAACGATTTATCTTGTGAGAATTCTCAGTATGTTCTCTAGTTGTACTTTATTTTTTTTCTCTATGTATCATGCACCTCAGTAATTTTCCATTGCTACTGTTAGAAAGCCATCAAACTTAACATTACTTAAAACTAATTCTAAAGGTTTCTATATTCCATTTTGTAATTTTGTGCCCCCTTGTCTCAATAGAAACACTAAAAATACACACAGAAAAAAAAAACAAAACAAAAAACAGAGCAACCCACCCCCAAAAAAAAAACAAACCACAAGCACAGGCTTTATTAGCCTAATTTCTGTGCAGTAACATACAAAGAAAAACAGCAGCAGAAAACATTCTGCAGGGCTAAACTGACAACAGTGGTCAAAAAGCAGAATCACAAAATATCCCATACAAAAGCTGTGGCAAGTGTAAAAATGTATTCACATGGGGGAAAAAAAAAATGAAAGAAAAGATTTCACAGCTTCACCCAGCAAAGTGATGATCAGTGTTTAAACCATGTTTAAATTCTAAATTAAGGACTTACATTAATGCTTGGTAAAATCTGATCTTTAAAGCTTAGCTTCTTCTAAGCTCAAGTTCTTAAATGACAGAATTCACGTGAGAATTCTGAGAAAAGAGCTGCAAATAAGAGTAAATCTATTCACATGTAAATATGCTTTAACCTCCAAAATGAATGAACTAGAACAGTAAATCTAGAACCATAGACTCAGGTTGGAAAAGACCTTTAAGATCATCAAGTCCAACCATTACCCCAGGGCTGCAAACTCCACTAGACCATGTCACCAAGGGCCTCATGTACACATTTTTTGAACACTTCCAGGGACAGTGATTCCAGACAAAATAACCCCATTTGTCTCAGCCTTTCCTCATAAGACTTGCTCTCCAGACCCTTCCCCATCTTTGCTGCCCTTCTGGGGACTCGCTCCAGCACCTCAATGTCTCTCTTGTAGTGAGGGGCCCAGAACTGAATACAGGATTTGAGGTGCGGCCTCACCAGTGCCAAGTACAGGGAATGATCACTGCCCTGGCCCTGCTGGCCACACTATTGCTGATACAGGCCAGGACACCGTGTGCCTTCTTGGCTGCCTGGGCACAAACTGGCTCATGTTCAGCTCCATCAATCAGCACCCCCAGGTCCTTTTCCGCTGAGCAGCTTTCCAGCCACTCTTCCCCAAGCCTGTAGCATTGCATGGAGTAGTTGTGGCCCAAATGCAGGACCCAGCACTTTGCCTTGTTGAACTTCATATGACTGGCCACAGCTCATTGATCCAGCCTGTCCAGATCCACCTGCAGAGCTTTCCTATCTTCCAGCAGATCAACACTCCCAGCCAACTTGGTGTCATCCACAAATTTACTGTGTGTGCACTCAATCCCCTCATCCTGATCATTATACGAAGATATTAAACACAGGCCCAAACACTGAGCCCTAAGGGATACCACTAGTGATTGGCTGCAAACTAAATGTGATACCATTTACCACCACTTTTTGTGGTTGGCCATCCATCCAGTTTCCAACCCAGCAAATACACCTACCCAGGCCACTGAGCTGCCAATTTCTCCAGGAGAACACCATGGAAGATAGTGTCAAATGCTTTACTAAAGTCCAAACAGACAATGCCCACAGCCTTTCTCTCACAACCAGGTGGGTCACATCAGCCACCAGTCCACTGCTTGCGAACAGCAAACCTAGCCAGGCATCTCCCCTAGTTGGCTCACTCAGAAGCTGGGTTACA